TGCCAGATCTGTCGTCGTGCAATGTGTGCCAAGTGCAGCGTTGTCAAGAAGATGACTGTGGACGTGTCGAGCACTGGAGCAGTGAAGCAATGCACGCTCCGATTCTGTTTGAACTGCCTGATGGAAGCCAAGGAGAAATCCGTCTGGGAGATGGCGCTCAGTGGAGTGGAAACGGCGTCGGAGACCTCATCTGCCTCCGGCTCAGGATATCGATAGGGAAAAAATGTTGATTAGCCTGAATATATATCAAACCGTCGAAGTGAACCTGTTCAAAGTTCCCGAAGCATTTCATTTTCACCACGTTGATATACCTACGCTTGATATTGACCGATTTGACAACATCGGATCTCAAACGTACAGTATGATACCACCACATTGACATGTGAGTCAGCATTTTTTTCCTCGTACTTTTACGTACATGGACTAAGTACAAGATGATTGTACGCTATATCATCGATAAACGTTGATTGGAAGTTGCTTCGCTGTACTACGACTTATTGTTGCGGTTTGGAGCAAACAAGTACATATCTGGCATCGTTCAGATTCACGAAAAGCGCCGTAATCCGATCGATGCGCTATGCAAAGGAGTCGTAATTTTTTTGTTCTTTAGATGGAGTGGATGCCTGGTGACGGTGACGCGCAGAAGATTCAAATACTCAAGGTGACCAGCGAAGTCTTCTCCACGAGCAATTGAGCTGGGTTGCTTCAATCACAGGAGGAATGGCAGGAAACTGATGAACAGCACAACCTAAAGAGCCTACTGGGAGACGATTACCTTGCCAACTTGATAAAGCCAAGATCAGTCAGGTTGAGACCGAAAGTGACACCACTCACTGAGTAGCTCCCGAAAATTAGTATCCTACGTATTCAGATATTGCCCAGTAAACGTGGTAGCGTTCATCAGAATGTCGACGAATACTTCAACGAGCGGTACTCACTAGAAGCTTATCAATAAATTAGCATGTTAGATTATATCGTAGGCTATGATTCGTAGCGAGTTCTGCATTACAATCCGACTGCGATGGACATTCAAACGTCGGTGAAGTCCACGGTGAATGAATGGGCCTCCAGTTTTTAAGGGAAAAGTTTCTGCGAGATACAAACGGTATTCTGTTTCGTGATCAGATGATGCTGCTCGATTCGAGCCTCGACTACATTAATCAAGGTCTTCGATCACAACAACCCACGCTTTTTAGTCATGCTTCAGTATTTCTCAACTCCTCTCGGATATAGAGCCTCGTTGAAAGATTAGATCACCCCAGAGAGCCTCACTCTTTTGGTACGAAAACGCGTTCGAATATTATTCTTCATAGGTAAAGCTTCCAGAAATTATGACGTTAACGCCGAACTTTGCTCTACGAGAAGTTCCCAGCGCTCTGCTTAGTCAATGCATTGTAAAAAGGTCTCTTGACAAGTAGCTTATCTCGGTGGTGCCTCCTTTTTTGCGGTGAGTTCAACATGAGCACTGAACATGACATAGTGACGCATGGCGACCACATCGTTTCGCATCAAGGTACTGTAATTGTCACGACTTATCGACAGGTAGCCTGGATTCAAGGCCCTTGAAGCGACGACTTCAACCGCGAGGCTTACAAATTCGCGTTACCAACGTAAGGTACAATGCAATGGAGTGCTACGAACTTGAGTTTCGTCCGCCGTCTGGGACATTGCTTTCTTCTCTCGAACATCGAGCAACGAGGTCAGCATAGTGTAGTCGGCCCAGCTGCTTCATGTCGACATAGTTGCTAGGAGCGGAAAGGCATACAAGTGCGTACATGAACTAAATCAGCTGTAAGAACATATACCAAGGCGCATCTACCATCGCAGCCAAACAGCGAGCGATACAGGCGAGAGCTACAAGGTGAAAGTTCCGCCGAGGCAGAAAGCACGTCCAATCTTCCGCCGAGTCGATGAAAGTCCAACGTGTACTGTATCATGAGCCCCGCTTCGTCACTTTGAGCACGTCGCACAGTGCTGCGACCTCTACATCAACTTTCGTACCGTGTGGTCCCGACTACTTGAAGTTTCAGTGTCTGCGCACACACAAACGGGCCATTTTCACAGTCTCGACCAATAGCAAACGTCAAAAATGGACATTACAATTGTAAGCGCGACTTTTTCGCGCATATTCCGCTGTCACCTTTGATTTTGGGACGCACGCCACGTCCTAGTTTTCGTCTATCCTTCCCACCGATTTCATCATACCAATGCTACTTCAGTCGCCTTAGAGCTGCAGTACAAGTACATGTAGTCATTTAGCACGATAATCTATGCCGAAAGTAGGTAATCTGTTTCTTGTCACTGCTACCGGTTTGTACACCAACCTTAAACTCCGGCGACCTTGACCTTGACCTGCTGGTTGCGGTGGGCTCTGCAACTCAACGACTCAGTTGGCTTTGCTCTGGTCGCGTTCGGATTTGTGGCTCGCGGCTGTCCGCACGCAGAACTGCAAGCGTACGAGCAGCAAAAAGCGAGTCTCTGTGCCCCCGAACAGTCTTTGCTGGCTCTCGGTACCAGATGGAAGTGCTGCCTACAAGTCGTGTGTTCGTCGTGGTAGAGAGGCCCAGATAGGCGGGGCCTAGTCGCGTCGTGGCCTCTCCATTCAGGAATTCTCCCCCACGCTCTTGCATCTCGTCGTCGAGATCAGCAACAGCGTACAGACTTGACGACATGGTCATGCAGACGCTCTCGCGCGCCCTTATGGGTCTCGCGCTGCTCAACGGTGTTGCGCAGGGATTTAACGTCTACGTGTACAACAAGTGCGATGAGAGCATGACGCTGGCTCACGTGACGCCCAACGGCGTGCAGACCGAGCAGGTGGCCTCTGGCGGCTCCACTACCAAGACCATCGCTCCCGGCTCAGCCTCGCACGTGTTCAAGTGGGGCACGGGCGCCCAGGCTACCTGTACGTGACTTAACTACCGATACAGGCAACACGTACCGACAGATTCTAATTATTTTTGTGTTACAGTGGCCGAGTTCTCGGGTGAAATGGGCATGTGCTGGTACGACATCAGCATCATCCCTACCGGCCCCAAGAGTGGCGTACGTATTTACCACTTTAATCCCCGTTTTCGCTGTTCGAAAAGGGTCCTCTCCCCCACCAATTTATGCTAACGTAATGTAAATCTCGTGTTGATGACGTGCAGCCCGAGTATTGCCCGAGTCTTCAGGCTTGCAAGGACCTCACGGGCGGCGTTGGCTTCAACAAGCCCATGCAGATCACCCCGCACACTCAGGACGGCGGACGCTGCGTTGAGCTGACGTGCATGGCGGACGGGTGTAACGATGCCTACCAGTTCCCCAAGGACGACACCAAGACGCACACGTGTCCTCTGTCCACGGACTTCGACCTGACGTTCTGCCCTGGTGGCTCAGGCGGCTCCACGCAGGCTCCTACGCAGGCTCCAACTCAGGCGCCTACGCCGTCTCCTACGCCGACTCCGACGCCGTCACCCACGCCCACTCCTACTCCGACCCCGACGCCTACGCCGGAAGAGGAACAGCAGCAGGAGCAACAGGAGCAGCAGGAGCAGCAGTCGGCTTCTGCTGGTTCGGCCGGTCAGAAGCAGGACCAGAACGTGGACCAGAAGTCCAAGTCCGGCTCTGGATCGGACACTGAGGCTGGTGTCACCAAACTGCGCAAGGTCAACGCCGAGAGCGTGCAGAGCTCCACGGCGCAGCAGACTACGCAAACAACTGAGACAACGGACAGTGCCACTCAACAGATTGGACAGACTCCTGCTGCCGCGTCGAAGGAAGACGAGGTGCAGAAGATCAACAATCAGGCCTCGGAAGGCAGCAGTAACAGTATTCCGTGGGTTGTGCTTTGTATCGGTGGGTTTGTCGGAATGGTGGCCGCTGCTGCCATCGTTGTTGTGCGCAAGAAGAAGAGAGCGCTCGAGGAGCTGGAGACCAAGACTCCGGTCTCTACGACGGCTCATGGCGCGCTCGCTACGTTCCGCACGCCCCGCGACAACGTCAGCGTGCTCTAAGCATGCAGAGCTGCAGTTTTGGATGTGGGCATACACACTTTTTTATCTGTAGATACGGTAGCTAGCTAGTCGCGCGAAGTGGAAGCGCTCCAAGTGGCTAGCGACGAGAGAAGACGGATTTTTGATCATACAAACCTTGTGTGTGTGTGTGCGTCTTTTGTTGTTCGACTTATAGTGATATCGTTATAATAATTGCTATGTAATCGTAGTAATAGTCAAGTTAACCAGGTACAGCAAAATCGGAGCTTCGATACTACTGTATTAGTACTACGTAGAAGTATCCAACTACTAGGAGTTTGAGTAGGACGATCAAATTATGACGTGAAGGACCATTTTACTGGACAAGGTGCGAGAAATACAACAAATCACTGACCAGCACAATGGCAAATGACAAACACAAAGTCAAGTTATTTTTGCACACTAAAACTGCACAAATCACAAGAAGTTTTTAGTGACTACAAGATTTTCTGAAGAAACACATACGTCTTATAAGTCAACACAAACTGTAAAAAACGTAGCCAATCACCAGTCCTTAGAATTATGTTTTGGCCAATCATCGACCGGATCACCAAGTGGTGTTGTAAGTGCAACCACTGGCTGACTGTAGGCGTCCAGGCTCCCTCCGTCACTTTGAAAAAAACTCCTACCCACCCTCTCGCTACGCGCAACTTTCACCACCCTGCCAAGCAGTCATACCTGGACGCTATTCTGTAGCGGCATTTCCCACGAAGATGCCGCGCCGCTGTTGCAGGGGTTGAAGATGTGGAAGACTGTCAAGAGTCAGCTGATGTCATGCACCACCTGCAGCGGTAGCGCGCCGCACCCAATGCGTTACAAGCTACTACCCTGTGCTTGCTAGAACTGCAAGGCGGCGGCACCGTACATGCCGTGCGCATGGCGCATGAAACTACTGGTGTGCCAGGAGACCAGCAGCGTTGACATCTACGAGCTGGTGAGCATCACTCTCGAGCGCGAACCCCGGCGAAGGTGTTCGTCACGCCCTCGCAGCGCGAGTTCATCAAGGAGCTCGCCCGCGAGAACCTGACGCCCGTGCGCATTCGCAACGCGCTGGGGCGCAAGTTCGGCATGCGTCCCTCCGCTTTATCGTCCCTACGCACCGTGCAAAACATTGTGCACCACTACCGTCGTACCCAGCTCGGTGGAACCGCCACGCGCAAGAAGATCTTGGAGGCTGTTTAGTGCTCCGCATTTAGTGGGCGTGAAGGCGAGAACGACGCCTTCACGTTCACTAATGATTACGATGGCTGCGGCCTGCAGAAGGTAGGCAACGGGTCAGATGGACAGCCGTTTTTGGTGGGTATGCCCACCAAGGCGCTGCTTCGTAACGCCGTACGTGATGGGGGTACCTTTGTGCTGCATTTTGACGCAACCTTCAAGCTGAACTGCGTCGGGTACCCGGTGTTCGTGTGAGGCATGACAGATGCCTCGAGGACTTTCCACTTGCTAGCGCTATTCATCTCGTCGCAAATACAAGAAGAGCACTATACGACGGCGCTGGTAGCCTTGAGACGGATGTTTGGTCGAGTGAACGGCGTGGAAATGCCTGTACAGTACGTTATGGGCGACGCAGACAAGGCCCAGTTCAATGCGTTTCGCCAAGTCTTTGTTGACAGCACATTCGACTACCTAATGTGCTACTACCATGTCGTTGCGAAGCTCCGAGAGAAAACACGCGGGCTGGACTCCAAGAACGCCGTGCTAGTCTTTCGAGGGGTCTACGATCTTCACTTTGCGCTAAATGCAGCAGAATACTCAAAACGACAGGTCGCAATGCTTGAAGAGTGGGATAGGACCGTGGAAATCCAAACCTTCAGCTCCTAAGTAAAGACCCAATGGCTACAAGGTGCGTTCACGAAGTGGCAGTGCTATCACACTCCTGTTGGTTATGCTACGACTAACAACCCGGTTGAACAATTCAACTGGGCTCTAAAAAGAGACTACACGCACCACAGACAACTGAAGATGGGGCTGTTGCTGACGCAGCTTCTGGCATGCTGCAGCCATCGGTCGATGGCACTTCCTGTCTTCTCGCTTCGCCCGAAGAGCTCATCGACACTGCAAACACGCACCACGAATCTCCGCCGGCGTGATCTTCTGCTGGACAACGTCGTAACGCGCAGCAGCATCTCGTTTGTGCTTAGCGATGCTGACCCCGATCTTGTCCACGTGCGTGCTGTCGCCCCCAATCGGCAGTTCGTCCCGGAGAGCAACACCTCACGCGAAGATGTCGCCATTACCGCCCAGTTTGGCGTTCACTATTCGCGGATGGAGATCGAAGGCCAACCGAGCAGTGGCTGGCCTGTAAACCTCAGTCGCGGAGCGTAGTTGACGAGGCTAGAGATGAAATCCTGATCAATAGGAAACGCCACACTAAATGGGGTCGTCCGCAAAAGGTCGAGTCTGCGTTGGAGCGTATGTAAAACATCCCCGTATCCGGTAGGTTCAATAAGCCTCGCTACTAAGAGTTGCCTTTTGTATTGCATTCCGATGAATATAACTACACAAACACTGGGCCAAACACAAAACAACAACGGTATCAGAATCAATAGTAATGTATATGAGCACCAAAATATCCGTTCCATCACTATAGAAGGTCTTGTAGCCGCCGTTGCCCTTTGCATTGCCTTCAACAAGCTTCTGCACCTGCCATCCATCCCCGCAGGCGTATTGACCTAACGTACGCTCTCGCTGTGACGCTTCCAACGTTGTCGAAGTCGCTTATACCACTCTATTGTGACTGGAGCAGCATACGTGACGCCCTGCCGGGTTGATGCTGACCAACACGGGTGACACGAGCCGCGAATTCAACTGGAAGCCCTGGAGAAACGTCTTGAGCAGCCTACCGGCACGCGTGGGGGTTTGGGGGCTGTCTCTGCAGGCTCTGTCCAGGCCGAGGGTCTTTCGCTAGGCTTCTCGCCATCCCCTTGCTCCTTCGGTTCTTTGATTGTGGCGCACTGCTCCCTTTACAGTGTGTGGGACACACCATGGTCATTGATTGGCTGCTAAAAATTGAGATGCTTGTCTCACTGTTGCTGCACTGTTGCTGTAATCGGATTTTGCTGTGTTTAGGATATTTTGTCATTTTACTGAAGATTTTTCAAAGGTGTTTTAAAAAGCAGCATCTTAATTTCGTCCTACGAGGTGCGATAAAATTAGTATGACATTGCGGTTTGGAAACACTGTAATCACAATACCACAAAACTGATGCAACAGTACGGAGGGGTGTCCCATTTGTGATGAAGCCAACTATGCAGACGAGAGAATTTAACGTTCATTTTTGCGTTATTTCACTGCCGGACTTGCAGACGGACAGAGCTCCAGCAGTCATCAGGATCGAAGAGCATGGCGCCAATAATGTTGTTGACAACGATTTTCTTAGCCTCAAGTTCGATCGGTTTATCTGTGTGACACAGACTGTGTCTAGATGTGACAATGTGTTATCACGACTCGGATGCTCAAAAAGGATAGGCGATTCTCTACTCGAATCAGATTTTTGCACCTACACTAGACCCACAAGTGAACGGGTTCGTGGTGTCTTCGCAAAGTTATCTGCTTCGGAAGGGAAGCTGAAATAGTGCATGAGCCTTGCTTTCTTTCGTTTATCGTTGGTTGATCTCGTCCGTATCGGATACAAATCTTTTGCAAGTCACTAAAACGGTTTTTAAGCTCAGGGTCGGTTTTGGCAACTTTTAAGATATTGTGCATGACGTCATGCCCTACTTCAAAGCTGCTCTGACGTTATTGGCATCTTGATAAGCAGGTCACAAAGTCTCTTGTGATAACTCAGAACGGCCGTCTAACGAAATAGACAGCCAAAACACCAGGGCATGGGTAAGAATCGACGATCGAACTGCTACATTATCGTCAAAATGCAACCGAGGTTGTATTTCTCGAATTTAGCGATTGTGATTGGCTCCCGTCACAGTACCGACAAGAAATCTTGCCGATACTGCGACGTTAGCTAACGTAGCCGTATTCTCTGCAACTACCGTTGCATCCACAGTTTGATTTGGGCTTAGGGAATGTAACCCAAGCCAATAACGAAACTCACATGTTTTGGTTTGGGTTGCACGCGACTTTTCGTACTGACTTTATTTACCATAACAATGGAGCAGTCGAGGTACAAGTCTGCCTTGGTGGCGTTCATGTCGTTCAAGGACGGCGTTAACTACTCAGCGGACATGAACTTCAGTGAACAAGCTCGGCTAAATATTACCCCCGAGCAACTCTGCAGATGGATGAATCACCGTGCATACGGAAGTGAGCAACCTACGAAAGACATGAAGCCAACACACGCTCGCTCATCTATTCTAGAGTTTTACAAGAAAGCCATTTCGTCGTTTATACCGCGTCTTACTATTCCATGGGACAACGTGAAGGCAACCCTACTCGTTCTGAGGCCATCAACCAACTCATTAAGACGGTGAAGCGCTTCGAAGTCCGTCGTGAGGGAGTCCTGTCCAGTGCTAGACGGCCTATTGAATACGACGAGTTCCGAGACTTGTTGACCTTCGTGCAAAACGATGGCAAACAGACCCAGCACTACAAGATCAACAGCGTGTTTACACTTCAGTGGCATTTAATAGCCCGGGTTGACGACATGATGAAGCTGAGATTTGAGAACATCTCGCCTAACGTTCAAAACCCCGGTACATTACTGTGCCAGATGAGATGGTCAAAGAATATTTCTGACGAACGAGATGCCCCTCAACAGATATTGGTAGGAAGTGTGGACCCACTTTTGTGCGCTCTACTCAATCTCGCTGTCTACTTGGAGTCATCGTGCTGTTCTATCAAGTCAGAGTTTGTAATTGAAAACCCTACGGACGGCCACCGCGTTGTATGTAAATTTCTTTAAGACATATTGGATGGACCTCGCTTCCGCAAGCTCAAGAAAGGGAATTTAGGTACTCACAGTCTTCGGAAAGGCGCAGCAACCTATGGTAGTCGAAGTGGTGTGTCAAAGGACTATATCAACCGTCGGGGTCGATGGCGCACGCGTAAATCTGTTGTTGATGTTTACATTGACAATACACTACCCTATCCTGATGCAATGGCAGCGGCCACACTGACGGGTCCACTAGGGCCTTGTTTCTACTTTGAAAAACCTGGAGTGCGGTGTGTTACGACAACGCTTTTGGTTGACAAGATCGCGAAGTGTATCAAGGGTCTAATGGGGGAAAGTGTTGCTAAAACACTCGGACTAGTGCTGTTGTGGGCGGCCTTAGAGCCCAAAAGTAGCTATGACTACGAACTTCTTCCCGAAAACCTACGACATCAAATTATTCAAGCATACCAAGATAAAGGAGGCAATTCGTCTGTGAATCCTGTTCATCGAGTTCCGTTTCATGTGGTCGGTGAAGGTGGGGGGCTTCACCTTGTTGAAGTGAGGGATTTTGCCTGTGACTCTGAAGCTGGGCACAGTTCTACCGTGGCAGACGCCACGACTGCTCGCAAAGACTTTGCAGCAATGCATTCGCAGTTCTTTGGTGTTAAGCGATACATCGGCGAGGTAATGAGCGAGGTGATGCATTTGCGAACTGAGATACAACGCGAGCTCCATACAATAAAGGCGAGCGTGAACAAGATTGCAGTGCAGCCGGTGATACGCCAAATACTGGGTAGCAGAGTTGACGCCACAGGTGAACGCGAGCTAAACCCACCGCGAATCCAACGCGCTACTGTTAAACTCTCGAAAAGACCCAAGGATTTATTTGAACTGTGGCATGAGTACGAGTTTGGATACGCTGGAGTGAAGCCAGCACGAGACTTTACATCAGTCAAAAGGAGTGCCAACAAATTTGCGCACAGTCGTCGTAAGGTGTTCTGGGATGAGTTGCTGGACTTGCACAAGCAGGGTTCACAAGTGACGCTGCTATTGACAAGATATATGCTAAGTACGGGTGGCAGCTTTCAGTGACTAAAATACTGAAAGCACTTCAGACAGCTAGGAAAAACGGTGGACACGGTCTGTCTTAGCATGTGTCACTTAATAACGAATGTGATTAATTTATGTGAGATTGCATTATCCAATCAAATCACTGGTAGCTCACTTGGTTGCACAAAATGTCGACACCCCGACAGTAAACTATGTACGCGCCCCCTAAAAACTTCTCACGGGGACACCGTTGAAGACTCAGTTTATCCAGATTTGTTGATTAAAGGCTGGAAACGAATTGAATGCACCTGTAATCACTGAAAAGTTGTTGGAAGCTAACCGTGATCACGGTTCTCTGGACCAGTTCGGGCGCCGACTGTACGATTGGGCAAGCAGGAACGTCTTGTCGGAAGATTTTGCGGGAAGATAGAATAACTGTCAATATCACTTCCATATTTTCACAGTATCGTTTCAATCTAACAAAAGTGTATCCTTAGAGGGCATTATACACGCTAAACAGCTTGATACGGTCTCGAAGATTGGTAAACCTTATTACAGGTCGGCAACGATTTTGGTCCAAGTCCGCCAATACAGTAACAAAAAATAAAGTAACTGTTGGTGTTTGTGTAAAGCAAATGAATATTGTCTATGCCGCTTTTTTGTAATATATTAAAATCTATAGAAGTCGGTATTCTTGAAGTAGTAGTCTGGTCCCGACAACAAAATCAAACCACAGGAGTGCAACAAGAGGCGAGCCATACTTTAGACAGCAGTACTTGGACAGTATTAGGCTAAAACCTGATATTTTGTCTGCGTATACTTGAACGTTTTATTGGATATCTCGATTTCTGTAAAGCCAAGTTCGCATTAACAGTTCACACGGCGTCAGAGCACTGTTTTCGCGAAAGTACATTATTAAGAGTTCCCTAGTTGAGTCTAACTGCGTCAGCATCGCGTGGTATCGGTTGAAATACGCTCGCAACCACTCCATACGTGGAAAGACAATGTAAAGCTCGATTCATATTATGCTCAGGGGTTCTTTTATCTATTTTATTTCCAATAATTGGGTCATTTTTACTGTATTGGAATCGGTCGGTTCAATAATAATATGATTTTCGCTGGGCCCAATAATTTATTGAATTGCAATATATGTTTACAACCCCACCGTCGTCGAAAAGGGACTGTGCTACAGTAAAGCAAGTGCAATACGAAGAGGGACGCGTGATTCTCGCCTTTGCTTTCTCCCATTCGTCGACGAAGCTATTCGTTGTCGTTTCCTAGCTTGATTTTGAAGACTGTCGTTCGTATCCTCCTCAGTCGTGTTTTACTATGATCCTGCTTTTTCGTACCGGAGCATAGAAAACTTATACTTCCAGGTTGTCTCACACCAATTGAGCCGATTTACACTGTTCTTTTATTCCAGTGCTCCATGGCAGTATATATTAGTAAGGAAAAGGGACATTTTCAAGTCGAAAATAATCACTCTCCAAATTCCTATTCAAAAGAAATAAAAACTACTAATTTAGGCTAAGAATGGAACCTACTACTGCTAGCTTATTATTATCTCATCCTCTCGATGGAGTCTTCCATGCCAAGAATCGAGAAGTCTACGAAGGAGACGCAGCCTGTGGATACAGGAGATCGAGATGTGTTTCCATCAGAAGGCGAAGGTGCCTTGCGTCGAAAGTCTCTGCTGAACAAGGCGAACGGATCCCCAAACAAAGTATATCCCGGGCTAGAAGACAACACCCTCGAAAAGAAGTCGAGCAAGTACGTGAAATCTGAGATGCAGTCCAATATCACACCAAGAGCACGTCAGAATGCAAACTACATAGTGTTACTTGGAATGGTTGCAGTGGTACTGACGTGTCTGTGCTGGACGCTTTGGTTGATCCTGCTTAACGTTGCGCCGAACAACACGGTCAACCATATCATGGATACTTCAACTTTTGACTATGGTTCCTTTTGGTTAATGGTTGACCCACCGATGTCACTGATGATTACAGCGACGCTTGGTCTCGTCTTGGTAGCTGTCGGCTACCTCGGTGTGTTTATCAAGCTAATTTCTTGTCGTCAGGGCCCGAAACAAGCGTATTTGGTTCACCAGGTACCCGATTCAGCCGATTTTATGAAGACAATTGGAAAAGCTCTGGATGATGCGGCTACCAGACCTAAAAGAGGAAAAACCACTTCTGCCATCGTAAAATTCGCTGCAGCACTTGCTCGAGAGGACAGCACAGAAAGGAAAATAAGTGTACGTGTTCTTACATCAGGAAGTGCTATTTGCGAATCGCTTTGATTCACTTTCGTCCTGATTTTTAGAAACTACTGATGAAGTTTGGTGATCTGACTCTGGAGACTTTCCTACTTTATCAGATGCTCGAGTCTGGGTCCCCTGCTGTGCTTATTGCAGTTTTCACGGTCGTCGTGGCCTCCAACGCGCTAATCTGCGCTCTCATGATGTTCATTCCCTACGACCGAGCACCACGGGCAGAAACGTTTATTGACATTCTGTACGCACTGCATTATCATTTATTACCGTATTATACGTGTATTTTCTAACATTATTGTGTTCTTTATGTTTATCTGGAGATTTGACTTTTTGATTGCCATCGCTTGTCCGATGCTTACGATTGTTTACTGCCTCTCCACTTTTACGTTTGATCGCGAGAAATTTGCTATTAATCTTCAAGTGTTTCCAGCTGGATGGTTTGAGCAAAGTGCCAGCGTTGTAGCTGACCCCGTTCAGACCGCAGTGATCTACAAAAGTCTCAAATCATTACGAATCACGTCTACTTTGGATTTCTTTTCTCGCATGGGTATTAATGGAACTCTCTGCTTCAGACTTCGACATGTAGTAGAGCTCATCCATAACTCCAAGAAACAGCAGAGCAGCGTGTACCCGAAACGCAGTCGCGTTGGTGCTGCTGGTCTCTTGGTTTTTACAGCGTTTCTGATAGTTTTCGTTGAAGAGAGCATGCGGACGTCTTCGTTGGCATGTAAGCCACACCCTGAGTGTGTAGTGAATGCACGGCGGTGGATAATTGTGGGAAATGGATCACTGACACAATGTCCATGCCTCACAATGATCGACCGCGAGATCACTCCAAAGACGTACGCCGAGTGGGAGACACCGACGAATGTGACGGAGAAGTTGGCTAATCTAGCTGCAACGGGAGATCTCCAGACTATTCAGATTACGAATCGCTACCTTGCCGAACTTCCAGGGCTACTACGACGCTGTAAAAATCTTAAACGCTTGTAAGTTCTTTTTCTTATGTGATCCATGCGAAGCGGATACGTAACTTGTTTCTGCGACGAGTTTATCAGATCACTCGAGTACACGCATACACAAGAGCTACCTGAGTGGATTAAGGAGTTCACCGAGCTAGAATATTTGTAAGTACCGAAATGCCAAGTGCCTGTGCATAATTACTGAATATTTTGCTGATATGTTTTTAGACATTTGGAAAGCAAGTTTACCAGCCCAATGACAGTTCTACCTGATGATATGTTCGATGACATGACGTCCCTTACGTTCATGCACCTTGCAGCGTTCATGACAATGACTAAGCTGCCGTCGTTTGGAGGACTCAAGAACCTCCGATCACTCACATTAGCGTGTTTCCTGTCTATGGTCGAGTTGCCAACATTTGACAGTCTCCAAAATCTAGAGCGGTTAGTACTGGCATCCATGCCAGCGATGGACAGTCTTCCGGACCTTTCGGCTGTTACTGATCTCAAGTCGTTCGCAGTGTCGGATCGAGGTGCTTGGTGCTGCAATGGATTTATTGGTACTTGTGATCTGGATGATCGTAAATGTGGAGTAGTGCACCCAGTATGGGGGAATCCCGCTGTGAGCTGCTTAGGGTCTGATCGGAATGAGAAAATAGCCACCGCTACAACACTTCAACTGGCCGGCAAGTTCTCGTCCACCATATGTGGACCTGTACTCGAAGCTGGAGTCCTTGAGGGCCCACCGACTGAGAATCTTATGGCTCCATGCAACGGGACAATGTATCGACAATGTCCAAGAGCTGACAATGTCGAATCCATGTGCTACAACGCTCGGTTCATGGGGATTGCATGTACTACAAACCCGTACCCGATTGAAATGCGACGTCGTCAAATTGCCCAAGGAATTGGAGACTCATGTAATCCTCAAATTGAGGCGTGGCTAGGCTGCAAGTAGATACATGCAACAACAATAACTCGCCTATTGTAAACACCCAAAATTATCTGGATTTTATTTTTGGTATTCACAGTTTTAGGAGGCGAGTCATTCTAACCCAAAACTACTGTGGCTTGCCATACCCAATATAATGGGGTTTCCTTCTGATATTAGATACACGTGATTTTTGCTCGTATCGGAAGCAAGATCCTTAATTTAATCAAGTATCTCATGCCTTGATATCTCATTCCCTAGCACAACTCATGCAAAACTCGTGAATGTTGCTTGTGACGGCCAAGTGCAACATCATCGATAAATTACGGAAGATAAAAGTAATTTATTTCTGGTGAATGTCTTCCGAAGCTACGCTCAACAAGCAGGATGGAAATTCGTAGAGAAAGGGGTAATACACATATTTGCCCATTAGCTGTAACCCGCTTGTATCTTGGTTTATCATAGTCCGCCATAAGCTCTCTCTCTCTCGACGTTAAAATGCATGTTGATATGGTTACAACTGAGTGTACATCGAGAAATTTACAACATAGTATCTGTACGTTGTCGCAAACCAGAACACAAATACTTGGACAGCTTTTTTTCATGGAACCATATGCTTCTATTCAGTCTGGGTTTCAATTCCATTGGAGACAAGTGCGAAGCAACATCTACATGTGCAAAATAACTGTAATCCAAGTAGTGTTTTCAGCTCTACTCATTCTTGCTGAATGAAAATTTGTCCAAAACAACCGACAAAGGTATATCCTTTGAGGAGTTTGTCTATACATAATTAAATGCACAAACAAAATATTTATAAAATATTTATTTGGTGTGCTACAGGTCTGCGAAGTACATTACCCGTGGAAATTTACTCTTACTGCAAGTAGTTCTTGTCAATACTCGACAGGAACACATTTCAAGTTGTTGCTAGGACTGCAGCAATACCAACAGTAAGATAGAATGAAAATTAGAGCTGCTCCGTGTCAAACACTAGTATTTCTTATCATGTAAGAAAACTGAGCTAGACACTACAGCGGCCACGCCTTCTCGAGGTGGTCTTCATAGCGTTCGTCGCTGAATGGGACCTCGGCATTGCCAAAGTTGGCACTGTCGTTTAAAGCAGCACGAGCTGCATCAGTGAGTTGCTCCCACATGATCAAATCCTGGTACTCGCCATCCCACTCCGCTAATTTCAAGAACGGAAAGCTCGAGGAAGGTAGCGCGTCAAAGCGGGGAGACGTGTTGGAGCCGTATACAGTAGTGCGGTTGAATCTGGTCCCTACTATACCGTACCCTGCAAAATTGGAAGGCCATATTTTAGTCTCCTTGTTGTACCACGTGTCAGACTTGGACATGGAGACTCCGACAATCTTAGGTGTCTCCAAGTCGAGGTTGTCAATCCATACAACAACGTTCTTCCAGTCATGGCGTCTCGTGGGGAAATCCATCCAAAAGCCTTTCGGAAAGTACCAAGCGTACAGTATCGCCCACAGGTCCTTGTAGCACCCCGCCCGACCGTAAACCTGGGAGCCTTTAATAGCAAATTTGCAGGCGTCGTTCCCTTTCGTCCACTTGAGTCCGCCAGTGACTTCACCGACAGCATTTACAACAGGTACGGCACGCAAAGGCGTTCTGAATTGTACAGCTGGGGCTTGTACTTGACGGCAGTCTTTTCAGAAATCGTAACAGGCTTGGGTTGAGGAAAAGGTTGGATCTTGTCATGATCGACCGTCGCACTAGCACAAACAACCAGAACAACAAAAACTGTCGCGATAAGAGCTCGTGGATTCATCTCGGCCGGGAGAATCAAAAAATGAACTGTGAGTGGCACTGGAATGATAGCTGCCCGATACTTTCTGAATGCATAGTGTTTTATTATTGGTATACTAACTTTTTTTTTTACTTGTTTCCATGTATTATGATGATACGAGTTGAGATGGGATGTCCCGCAATCTTTGTCCAATCTCAAGAGTCCTGAGCATGCTTCCTACAACGTACATTTTGGCGAAAGTTAACAAACGTACTCGAGCTCTTGTTTTTTTTTAATCTGATACTTCTACTGGATAGATTTTTTAAGAAGTAGGTCTGATGTTGGAGTTGGTGCTTTGCATTACGGGACCATTGAGTGCTCATGGCCACCGACTACTTGACATCAGGCGGCAGCGTGCGAGAAACTAGCATGATGTAGGTGCGACGTGGTACATCGGTACATCTCTCATCTTACATATCAGCATTTAGGTGCACTCGTCCTGTTACGTGCTCGCACTCAGAGATGGGAAAAATCGTATTGCGATTGTAAAAGTGAGAGTGACTGTTTATGGCAATAATTGATTGGCGGCTCAACACAACCATCAAAATTGATTCTAGATATTGACCATCATGCAGAGTAAAGCCATTCGTCACCATAATCTATGACCTGTCGTTTGAATTGTGTCAATGCGATTTCAAGCAGTATCTTCACTATTTTTTTTTTAAAAGTTGCACACTTTTCTGGGTACGTTTGATCACTGTGCACATAATCATTAGAACGAAATAGCAGCGTCGATGATCGAGCACATACAGCTTTCGACAATCTCTTTCTGGGAGGTTTTTAGGTATTGCATAATTGATTGTCTTTCTGTAAAATGTATCATCAATAAACAACCCACAGCTCTGCCTCGTAGCCGTGGATCTCGATTACAATTTGCTGCCTCTTGATCAGTAGCAACCTTCGACAACTAAGACTGAACCTTTCCGTTGCAGTGATCGCGGGACAGACCAAATTTGGCCTGACAGACTATGAATAGGCTCGGCAAAGAACCTTGTCGTCGCATAAATAGCTCTGGAACAAGCACTCATTAGCACAGTGCCAACTCAGAATCCATATTTACTCAAGGTGACACCATGCAGTCGTTCCGCACTCTTCCGCCTGACGAAGACGGTGGACGCGAGGTATTCGACGGTCCTCTACAGCAGAAACACCAATCGAATATCACGCCTGCACCCCCTCAAAAGATCTACCCAGGAGACGCTCCCGTGAAAAAGACAACTTTGAACTCGAATTCTGTCAAACCTCACCAAAATGTCGGTCATCCTGGAAAGAAAGTCATGTTGTTCCAAGCGATGCTCGCGGTAGCGGTGTGCATTTGTCTTGGGTGGACACTGTGGCTTATCTTGTTGAACGTGGCGCCCAATGACACAGTGAACCGAGTCATGAACACGGAAACCTTCGACTACGGATCGTTCTGGCTGATGGTAGATCCGTCGAAAACTATGGTGGGATTCGCCACGTTTGGGCTCTCAGTTGTGGCGCTAGGATACCTGGGTGTCTTCGTTAAATTGCTTATAACTCTCCGCAGTTCAAAGCAATTGTATCTAGTTCATCAACTCACAAACAAGAACTTTAAAGAGAAAGTTGGGAAAGCTTTGCACGATGCCACTGACCAGCGGACCGGGAGCAGAGTGACGTCGGCTACGGCCCAGTTGGCTTTAAGCCTCACCCGTGAAGACAGTTCTGCTCGAAAACGCATCGTACGTTGATTATATTAGTTGTGAGGTATTCGACGATATTCTGGCTAACTAATGGATTTCTCGTACAGAAATTACTGATGAAATTTGGAGATTTGGCACTGGAAACGCTACTGCTTTATCAGATGCTCGAAGGCGGCTCACCAGCACCTCTAATTGCCATATTTACAGTCGTAGTCGCAACAAACGCACTAGCCTGTGCATTGATGATGTTCGTGCCGCACGAACGAGCCCCACTCGCCGAAACGCTTATCGACATCTTGTAAGTACCATAACTTTTGAAGAATATTTAAGTGATTTTGACGCTTTCTTTTTTTTTTTTCTAATCCGTAGATTTGACTTTCTCATCATTGTGGGTTGCCCCATGCTCGTCGTTCTGTATTGTTTATCCAGTTTCACGTTCGACCGTGCCAAGTTTGCGATTAATCTGGAGATTTTCCCTCCTGGCTGGTTCGAACAAGGAGCGAGTGTGATTGCTGATGCCGAACAAACTGCAGTGATTTATGAAAGTCTGAAGTCACTACGGATAATGACTCCTCTCAACTTTTTTACTCGAATTGGAGTGAACTTGACGCTGTGTTTTCGACTTTGGCATCTAGTGGATCTCCTCCGCGACTATTCCAGGCAAAACAGCAGCGTATACCCCAAGAAACATCGTTTAGGAGCGGCTTTCCTCACCGTATTCGCCATTCTGCTGGTGGTGTTTGTGGAAGAAAGCATGCGAACGTCCTCCCTAGCATGCCAGCCACACCAAGAATGTGTCGTGAATGCGCGTCGATGGACGATTCTGGAGACTGGATCTCTTACACAGTGCCCCTGCTTAATGCTGATTGACCGTGATACAGCCCCCAAGACGTATGCTGAGTGGGAGAATCCAGCGAATGTGACGGATAAAGTCGCTCAATTAGCATCAATGGGCGATCTTCAGACGCTTCAATTGACTAACCGCTACTTGGGGGTTCTGCCCGATGAGCTCCGACGTTGCAAAGGCTTGAGACACCTGTATGAATTATTGTGTGGTGAGTACAGTAACGTAAAAATATTCTTACGTGTTTGTTGTTCTTGACAGATCGCTGGAATATACCCATACTCAAATGTTTCCAGCTTGGATCAAGGAATTCACCAAGCTCGAATATCTGTAAATTTACATAAACCTAGCTTTTGCTTAACCCTTAAAAATTGATACTGACAAACTAATGAACAGACATGTGGAAAGCAAGTTTACAAGTCCAGTGGTGGTTTTACCAGACGATATGTTTGACGACATGTCGGTGCTCACCTTCATCCATTTCGCCGCGTTTATTCCAATGACCAAACTTCCCTCGTTGGATGGTCTCACGAATCTCAAGTCACTCACACTGGCCGTCTTTCTCTTACTTGAAGAGGTGCCTGACTTTGATCGTCTTGGTAACCTCGAGCGGCTCGTTCTCGCTTCAATGCCAGCAATGTTAAGTCTGCCTGACTTTTCGCCTGCTACACATCTTAAGTCATTCGCGGCGTCGGATCGTGGAGCTTGGTGCTGTAATGGATTTTTAGGAGACTGCAATCTGGAAGACTCAAAGTGCGGTGTCCATCCAGTGTGGGGAAGCCCAGCGGTGTCTTGTTTGGCTTCCAATCGCACGGATAAAATCGCAACCACGGCGACACTTTCTGCGGTGGAAAAGTTTAGTATAACGACGTGTGGTCCAGCACTGCAAACTGGAGTTCTTGAGGGCCCTCCGACTCCAGAGCTCATGGCACCATGCAATGGAACTATGTACCGGCAATGCGGAAATACGGAGGCCATGTGCTACAATGCTCGCTTCATGGGAATAGCGTGCACGACAAACCGATTTCCCATTGAGATGCGACGGCGACAAATTGCTCAAAGAGTCGGAGAACCGTGCGACCCAGATATTGAGGCGTGGCTCGGGTGCAAGTAAATACTATTTTATCCTAGCTAGAAGAGCTATATGGATAGCCTCACACAGGTTAATTTGTTAGAAGACAGTTTCCAGCTACTTTCAGATCACATCATAGCACACAGCATTAAATAATTTGGTGGCACACACTATCTCGCTCAGCGCGTTTCAAACAGACCTAACGTCAGTCTAAGAGAGACCCGTGTATCACAACTCATAATGCGATAAATACTCCAATCTTGGCTCAAAAGGCCAATTGAGGTACATTACAGCATTGAAGTCGTGGATTTAGCTTTTCTGAAACGGCTTGGAAGGACCAGTGAGTAAAACCCAACGCCACTTCCTCCACAATAAACTAGACATCAATATCTTAACAGTGTGCTTGTAAATCCATGCGAAAAAAAATTACGAAAATGTGGATCCAAGTAGACAAATATTTTGCAGACCGACGTTCGACAGAGATAGTTCATACATTTAAGCATGCATCAACAAGTTCAAGGCTCCATATGAAGTTTTATCCAAAAATGAATCGCAGACTCAAACGGGTCATGGTCGTGTAATGAGCTGGGGTCCTCCGCTCTTCGAGGTTGAACACTTGGTCTACTGCGTTAAGCCCAAAGTCCGATAGGCCGTCGGTTGGCAAGCTCGCCTTCCGCGCCAGCGTCCACCCAGCTGGCGGACCACCTATTTTATTTATCGTTCAGTTCGTTCGTCCAGTCAACCAGACTCTGTCCAACTACAATCTCGATGTCCTCTTGGTGTACTTCGATGTCCGAGCCGTAGCAATCGCCCACTTAGTCACGTCCAGGACTTACATCTCAGGCGCCCACTCTATAACAATGCAACCTTCAGCAGACTCACAAGAACGCAGATCCAACCTCGCCCGCTCACTCGTCCGTCGGTTCCTGCCAAAAGCACACTTCAATCGCCGTCTTCAAGCGTCCACTGTGGTCGTCCAGTTCGTCAACCGCTCGTCCGCCCGTCCAGTATCGCTTGTCGGTCTCCAGCTGACACACAAGTCCGCCAAGCCCGTCCAGCCGTCTGTGGGCCTCGAGGCTGACACACAGGTCCGCCGAGTCCTTGTCCGTCCAGTTGTCCAGTCAGTCGATGTTGGCGTTGCACACCAGCACCACTTACGCTCCGTCCGGCAATTTTCAAAGTGAGAACTCTCGAGCTCTGGTGGCGCGAGTCATGAGGCTGTCTGTACCCATAGTATCCTCTCTACGGAAGTGGTGACCGTGAGCAGTTGCTGTCGCCACCGTCTTCTTTCTTTGCCGGCTGCTGTCTCCGCCGAGTTCGGTCATATACGCATGCGTGCTGTCGGTGCTGTCCGAAGTATGTACCAACCTGTTACACATGTATCGCGGTCCGAACAGGAGGAAAAACGCACACGACATTCTTGAGGGTCCACAACATACAATCATTAATACAAGTAAGGCATCCAACCGCCTGAAAAAACTTTATCGTCACACTTGTTGCTCACATTTCTGTGGGACTTAATCTTGATTGCTGAAGCCGCATTTTTAATCGTATGGGTGCCTGGGAAATGCAGTCTGATCCAACGACATACCGGCACACGCGTTTGTACTATTACTAATTGACGTTCACGAGAGAGGCGTGATGTCCGCGAATGTTAAAATAGAGAAATTGTCGTAACTACTCAGATCGTGACAGTGATAGCAAGACAAGATAAAGCCCATTATCTCAATTGAACGAGTTGTGATACATTTTCTGTTCGAGCTGTGTAGGTGATGGCGGACAATATGTCCTTGCGGAACTAGTTGAAATGGTGGTAGTCAGCTATATTTTGTTTGTAGTCTAGTTTGGAATGAGCCTAAGCCTTCCGCTGTCTTTGCGGTAATCCCTTGGCAAATCAGTACTCCGTCTCGCTTGCTTCCGTCGCTGTATCAGTCTCGACAGCAACCAAGGATGGATATCAAGTCTTAACGGATACGGTGGACCAAAATCGTTCGGGCCCTCACTTACATGTTCCTCCATTGGACATGCAATTGCGTCGTTAGGTCTTCGCTGCCATTGCCTGCGCCCCCAACAAAACTAGTAGCCCGCTATTATATTCGTGTTTAGTTGCATGCAGCTGCTAACTGCCGAATGACTGTACAATCTGAATGGATAAGTTGTGAGTGAGTCCATCAACTGAAAACTGTGCAGAGCAGTTATCGAGGTCGTAGTGAGTCGACACGGCAAAAGTAACCTTAGAAGCACTTAGTACGCTATCAGCTTTTGTCCTGTTCTCTTCGTTCTGTAATTTATCCTCACTCTATTTTGAGACCTTAGTGAAAATAAGTAAAATGCACAACTTAACCTTGTAGCCATCTCTATTTTGATCTATAAACAAAAAACCGAATACCCCGTCTAATCGTTTCAGGGAGTGAGATTCGAAGCACCACAAGGGAACAGCTCTGCACATATTGTTACATAGTAGTAATATATCGGAAAACCGGATCCTCAGAAAAAAAGTTCAGAGAATTTATGAGGAAGAAAAACACTTCCAAGTATGATCGCATAAAGAAAAAAATCGCACTGGTTTACATAACCAAAACCTGAAAATCGGAAGTAAAGTCCAGAAACATCAAAACGAAATGAAAAAGATCACTAATAAGCATCTCAATTTGCTTCAGGCTCCAGGTGTTCCGGGCTATCGTTAGAAACGTGTTAGCGTCTGGCGCACCCTTGAGATCAAACATCTCACAGACACCAAAGTCAGGACCGACTATCACGAACGCGCGCTTCATGTCCTTCAGCGAAGAATTTTTATCCATCTCTTCGTTCAGCCGGCGCAGTCTTTCTTCCTTGACCTTTTCCTCGCTTCGAATCGTGAATAATAGCCACAATCGTCTCGGGCTTATTTGGCATATCCTGACCCTTGCCATCAGCTTCACTTTTACTTGGGAACGCTTAACACGTGGTCACTGCGTCGATGAAAGGGAGGAACGGGTAGTCGGGGTACCAGTAAGTGTCTTTCCCAAGCGTGATCAAGCAAGGATAGCACGATGCCTCATCTTCGCCACTGCAAACAACCCTGGGCACCCGAATCTCGATTTTCTCGTATCCCCGTACCTTCAACACAATGGGTTTACGTTTTACGAATGCCCCACGAACTGCGTTGTGAAACAATAGTTTGTATGCGGCGCCATGGAAGCCGAATAGTTGTACACCAACTCAAACGCTTGAGTATTTTCCACGGAACAACAATCGCTCACTACACGCCGCTTAAGCAAGTCTGTAGTAGGTCACGCTCAGAAGAAAGTTCAAATACACTCGATGGAAGCTGGCACTTCCTGTAAAGTCTTGTCGCCGAGTATATTGAGCTTGTCGACTAGCTGTCAAAAATGAAACTCAGAAAACTAAAACATGTACTTGGACTTGCTCCCCACACTACCATCACTAGCGTCCTATTGATGGTGTTCAACTCATACTTCAACATGTACCAGCTTGAGTAGACGAACAGTTGTTGTAGATAACAGCAGGCAGTTCTGATAAGCGACTTTGACTTAACAAAAGACGCTCAGCTTCAACACCACTTCTCGCTGAGCCACATCTGCATGGCTGACTGCAACCACATGATGCTGGTAAACGTTACTGTCGCACTCGACTGCATTGCGTGGGCTCGGTTGGGCTTTCAAACCAAGACCCACTACAACGTTCTCTTTTTTTTTTTACAGAACTCACGCAAACTCCCACCACTGTAGAAATACTGTTTCTTAACAAGTTTTGGCCATGGTGTGTTCTGCCGCTTGATCTTGCGCAGACCAGCTTCGATAACCCTGTTCTTTAACTTCCCGTACTGCGTAGGTCAGCATCACGCCACGCCGGCAATACCACAATGCGTGAGCTGCCGTCATGTTTTGGAATATACTGGCACGGTATAGCAAGAAAATGAAAAGGAACCTACTCGTTCTTCGCGTCCTCGGCTTCATCTTGATTAGGCCCATCGACCAAAACAAATGTACCATCAGCTTGGCGACGGACGGTCATGATATCAATCAATGAAAGATTTGTAATTCGAGAGTACGATTCTTGGCCATAAAAAGCACCACCACGTTCTTAAGTTCTACTGTTTTCAAGCAGCGAATGATAAGCACCTTTCTCTTTTCGAAACACGCGGTAGAACGGAAGCAGCATAAGAAAGCAGGACTTTCCTACACTTGGTGAGCCTACTATCACAACGCGATCCTCGCCGAACAACAGTTTCTTGATTACCTTCCAGAACACCACTTGTTCCATCCGAACGAAATAGTATGGTGGGAATTCGCCGAATCCCTTCCAGATCTTGTGCACGGTAGGTGTCATCACAATTGGGTCGACACTCTGTCGCGTTGTAGACAGACTGTCGAGTCGAAACTCGTCTTCAAGCAAGGACAAGGGTATGAACTCGGTCAGCGTCTTCGGCAGGAAAAGTTTTAATTTCTCCAAAACCTTAGCAATTTCATCATCTGCTGGACGCTTTGACCCGACATCCAGGGCCGGAACCACCACCAGTACGTGAACTACGTACGTCCTCACCGAGCGATACGCCAGGCCCAAAAAGTTCTGGTCTGCTTAGCTTCCACGACCCACGCATGCGCAAATATGACGAAGTATCGATTTTGCTTTGAAGCAACATGTCCAGGTTTTCGTTGTGCGGCAACCAGGCGTCGCTCTTCTTCACCAGGAAGAGCTTCAGGTTGGTAGCAGCACACTTGATGTTAGTCTGACTAGTCAATTCATTTACCGTTTTGCCTTCGTCAATTTCCACCGAGAATGCTATTCCCGCCCCACCAAAGAATACTTCACCATCTTTCTTCGATCCAGATTCTGGAATGAGGAAGAAGGAAGAGAGGATTTCCCGTTCGTATTTAAGATCAAATGAAGGAGTGACAATTTAACTTCCAGACGGGATTTGGGCTGGTAGTGCAGAGTAAAAACACAATATGATCTAGTATATCGTCTGCGATTTCCACTGAAAACATTTTTTATAGCATAACATTTGCCTAACCAGCGATGGGAAACATCCAGAAAGAGGTGATATCTTTCGTTCCCGGAAAATCACTCATCGAATTCTTTTCTCCATTTCTCGCAGATATTTCCAACCAAGTCATATTTTGAAAGATGGAAAAATCTTGGTCTGGGACCTTCCATCAGACTTGTTCTAAGCTGAGTGTTGGCTTAGTTCGGCTTTTTTTTGGTAACCATTTCTACATAGCGCGAGGCCAGGTTTGAAGTCGCACATTGTTAGTAGTCATGACAGAGTTGATTAGGGAGAACAGTACATAACATATCTATTGCTCTGTCTTGGCCTTATCGCTGTACAAATACAAACAGAGAGAGTTTCTGTCTCTTTTTGGCGCAACGGAAGATACGGGAATGTCCAAATAGTAGATGTTCATCTCACAATCAAGTTTAGCATCAAATCACTGGCTCAGTTTGCAAGACCGTCGTCGATGGTGCACCAGGACCCCTTACTCACGTTTCTTGTGACTATTTTGCCGCTGTGTTTTTGAGAGGGTTTGTGAAAGCCGATGCTGCACATCAGGGCCAGAATCACCAGGACCTAAACCGCAGAATGAGAAAACGGATTGCCAACTTAAGGGATTCGTGGACGAAGAAAATGGAGTGCGAGACAGAGAAAGAGGCTTTAAAGTCGACACCAACGCTATGGAGCTGGTTTTCAAAAAGTCCCAAAGTATCGACGCCACGAAGGCAAAGTTGCTGTTCAGTACGGTACCATTTTTTTATTCCGTAACTTGGAAGAGTTTTATATAGAAGAACACACGCCAGCAACCTGCTGTAATGCCCGGGATTCAAACTCGATCTTACCCAGGTGAGAGCTCAATCGGGGAAGATAATTAATATTCCCAGTGTAGAAAACCGGCACCAATCAAACGAAAAGACTAGGCGAAGAGGATTAAGAACTTCGCAATGTAGCGCACCTGGTTAGCAAGTGTTCCGCACATCGTTATGCGAAACAAGTTGAAAACGTGCTATCATTCCTCAAAAAGCACCCTGATGATGGACTTCGCGTCATTGAGATGCTGTTTCGTAGACTTGGCGATTACCTACTGCTCATGTTCGCGAGCACGATGGGTTTCGTGACCGCTACCATGTCGTAGGAGCATAAGAACCCATATCAAGATGCGGGCGCTTTAATACCTTTCCTTGTTGGTTAGTGTATTTGAACCGAATTTAGAATTGGCTTGTGACTTACGAAGTATCGATCGACGGCTGGAGATGGAATCTGCTGTGCGGAGGATTTTTTTTTAGTGAAGACCATTTGCCGTTTACCATAGTAACGATGTAAATTTTGGATACCGCAAATCACCGCGACCATGCAGCGTCGTAAAAAAAAGTAGAAACCAAGTCAAAATGTAAAAAAGACTCTGTCGTGCAACTGTGGAGCAGCTTGCTCTCAGCAGATTCCAGACTTGGCTACACGGCCGTTGTCCGTTGCTAACGGACAACAAGAAGCTAACGGAAGCACAGCGGTTAGATAGCGAAAGGTCGCAC